AGCTTTCTCTTCTGATAGTCTGCAAGCCCTTTGGTCTTAGTAATTTCCTACCTCCGACTCCTGATAGTACTGGCACATAGGAGGTACCCAATAAATAATAAATAAGAAATCCCTAAACAACACCAAAGCCAAACAAGAAAAACAGAAAGCTATAGTTTGGAAAAAGAAATGGGAACCATTCCTAAGGTAGAGAAAAATGAATCAAATAATCATCTTCTTGGGAGAAGTTATAGAGAAGTATCAATGTTTATTTTTCCTGAAAAGTCTTTTACCCACCTGACTGCCAATCTTTGGCTTCCATTCAACCATTTCACCTTTTATATAAGCACATAAAACCGGGAAGTTGCTCTGATTTTTGCTCACTTTGATTTGCTCTACACATGTAATGCTGAAGTCACACCTTTTCCTTCACTGCAGGTGGAGATCACCTTTCTCTTTCTAGAATTTCTTGTGCTTTGATTTGCTTTTTACTGTTATTTTGAGGCACTTACTAAGAGCCACAAAAGTGGGGGCCCATTTGGAGATATGTGAGGACACAACTGGTTCCAGGCTGTCAAACCAGAAGTCTTAAACCCGATTCCTCGTTTTTTCCCTTGAGGTCATGGAAATTTCTAGCCACCAGCTGAGCCTGGAATTGATTTAGTGCCAGGGAGGTGAGCCGTGGGAAAATAGAACATTACTTAGTCATTCTCAGCAGTAGATTTTATGATTTAGAAAACATTTCCTGGCTTTGAAAACTTAACAATACAGCCTCTAAGTCAGTCAAAAATCAGAGTAAGGGGATTCGTAATGAGAAATTCCAGGACTATACACACCAAGTGGGATAGCTAGTGGGTTTGTAATAAATCGTTTCGTCTCTACAAACTTATTGCTACAATCTGGTTTTACGGAATTATTATTTCATTACTAATGGCTGTTTTTAACTAGAGAGAAGAGTGCTTATACGTATCTGAAAAAGTGTGTAGAGATCAGATTCATCTCTGTAAGAGCTTTGCATCTTAGTGAAAACACTGGATTGGTGGTGGGGAATGCTTGGTTTTTGTCTTCGCTCCGTTTTGAAGTAACTGTTGACTACGTAAGTCCCTAAGCTTCTCTAGGCCTGAGTTTACTCAACTATAAAATGAGGGTCTCCTGGCTTAGTGTCTTTTGGTTCAATAAATTCTTGTTTGCTGCTTACTTTAGATTGGGTTCCCTAAAAAGAGCAGCATGGGCAGAGATTCTTGTGCAAGTAAATTACTGAGTGAGGTGACCAGGAAAGAACTGTAAGAAAGGAGGGAAGCAGGATAGGGCAGGAGAAGAAGCTAAGCAAAGATCTGGCTTTAATTGATCTGATATCGGCCTGATCCCAGAGAGGGCTCTGGGATATGAATAGCAACTCAGAGCTCTACGTATTTGATTCGTCTGTTTCAATCAGTCAACGACCATGGGTTGCTCTCTAGGGCAGGGGGTATAATTTCACTGAAACTCCAGTTAAGCAGCTGGAGGATGGGTATATGAACCTTTTAAAGGGGGTCTCAATGAACTACCAACAAAACCTAAGATACCACCTGTGTGTCAGTCACCGTGTGAGATATTGGAGAGGGAGAAATAAAAAAGAGATGACTCCTGGTCATAGGAAACTCACGGAATAGTTCAGGAGATAGATGAATAAACAAGTAATTTCAGTACAACATGGTGAATCCTAGAATAAGGGAATATACAGAGTGTTGTAGGAACAGAGAAGCAGACATTGCAGATCGTGTGCCTCAGGACGCAGAATCTAAGGTGGAGAGAAACAGGAGCCTTCCTTAATAAGGACTGTTCTTAAGATCAACATTTGAGGAATGGAAGGGAACTGGAACGGGAGGAGAGAAAATTCCACTTGCGATGCAGTGCCAATGGAACTGACCTTGAGGAGAGTTTTGAAGATGCTGGGGGCTCTCTACCAGCAAGGTTCATAGCAGCCAGGGTAGAAAGGCCTTTATGCCTGAAGGGTAGTGCATCACAGAATCCACCGCCATCCACACCTTGTATCACTTGGATCCACTTGTTTATGTAAATCCTGGGAATAGTGCCTGGGTGATAATCTTCATGTTCCTCCTTATTCACCGATTCCTGTACCCTCCACTGTTGTCTCCGCTAGTCCCATTGGCTCTCTGATGGTGCGACTAAGGCCTTTACCCCTGAGGGGTCTGAGCTTTTGTCAACACACTCTTCTCAAGACAGGTAACTGCTTTATTATTTACTGCCAAAGAAGTTCCAAGATTCATCCAATAGAACCACATGGGCGCCCACGTATTCCTCTGTGAACGCCCTGTATAACAGTAGTTCTGCCTGCTTCTGATGACTGAGCGTCAATTACCCATCAGATTAGAGATGACTCTTCTTGCCTGCTAGCTCCTTGATATAATGAGACTGAAATGTCCAGGCAGCAGCTATAGCTTATTATACACAGAGAATCTTGCTGTGTTCCCTGGTGGAAACATTCACCTGTGGAAGCCAGGTGCTTTGAAACCATAGATTTCTGGCTTATGGGGATGGGAACACAAATCTCTCAAGTGGGACACTGAGAGTGATGGTGAACAAGGCCACTCCTATCTACTTCTTGTTCCCAGACCCATGCATTATACTTCCCGGGGACACAGCAGGAGGTGTTTAAAGAGCTTTAATGTAAAGAACAACATCAGGTTGTTCCTACACTGTCAAGCCCTCACTTTCAGCGACATAGTATATGATGTGCCAGTGGATCCTATTGGCTTATGCCCATTACCACACCTTCCTTGGAGTATAGGGCATGTCTTTGATTGATGTGATGTTATTTGGCATCCCTTATTCGTGGATTAAACACTCCATGAGCTTTTCAGATGATAGCGCTATCTGAGTCAAGAAAGATAAATATATACCCAGAACATGTGTCTATTTTTGTGGAAATGAATCACTGACAATTCTAAAGAGAAAGGGTTTCACTGAAGTCGGCTCACCACCAAATGGACAGTTGGTCTCTCTTCAAGGGATAGTAACATATTAGGGATTGGTGTCGGACTCTGTTGGAGACATGTTGGGCATTCAGCAGTAGCAGTAACTAGGAAAGCCTTGGTAAGAGGGAACCCGGACTGTTGGGTGCATGCATAGACTCCACCCCGCCACCATGGCTACCTCATCATGAGCCTGTTGTGCCAACATCATGAGCCTGTTGTGGCAGATGACAGAAGCTGGCTAATGTCAACTGGCCAAGTCACAGTCTGTCTGGTTGTTTAATGCATAGTCTGTGGTGGATGTTTTTTTGGCGGACATTAACATGCAATATAAAGATTTTCCTGCTTCCTGCATCAATCCCAGACTTCCTCGTTCCTACTCTTTCAATCTTTCGCATTCTAGGCTCTTGACCATCTGGCCAGGCCATTTGCCACTCTTTATCGGTCTTTATTTATTTGACACTCAGGCCACTTCTGTCTGTGTAAAGTAGATGACTAGGTGTTCCACCCAAAGTCCTATCCATTTGGAGGACTTGCCCTTGCTCGTGGTTTTCATGGCCACCACTAAGAGGAGCTATGGTGCGGTTGGAGTCTGTTTTCATCGCGCATCCGTAGGATGAGGCTGGCTCATCTGTGAACCACGCTCACGTGTTTTGTTCCTCCATCAGCTGGCAACACGGGATTGCCCCATGTAGCCATAGGTGTGAGCTGATGAAAGGTGCTGGCACAAGAATGGTGATGACTGGAGCTCTGGGCTGCCCTCTTGTGCACTTGCTTGTGCCTTCTTCTGGTCCTATTTATGCTCAATCCTGGATGTACCACTTCCATCTCTTTCATCCAGCTGTCACGGTCATTCTGTCACGTCTGTCCCACTGATAGTGGGTCGTTGCAATTTCTATGCATCTAGGAGCCACTTTAGCGGTGAGTTCGCACCAATTTCCAGTAGTCTTTTCCAAGGTATTATAGCCTATGTCCCTGGAGAGTGCCCCAACTTTATGCTTTGTCCCCTTGTTCAAGTACCCTCAGTTGCATGTGTGTTCTTGCAGCTACAGGCAGTAGAATATACCTGGAGCGGTCCTACAGCTACACTAGGATCTAGTCCTTTTCTACTGATATCAAGCCCAATAGGTCTCCACACAGGTTATGCTATGACTTAACCTTTGTTTTAGGCCTAGCGGCCAGGAAGAGAGATGGTTGTGTATCTTCAGCGGCCAGATGTTACTTGTGAGGAGAAGCCTCTGCATTCTCTTTAAGCTAGGCACGTGCCAGCCTTAATAGGGGAATAGGCCACTTCTGCAGGCTAAGAGGGTTCAGAGAGATCTGGGGACCCAAGGTATTTGAATGCATCAACCCAGATGCCCCCAAGTCCATATGTCGAGGTCCTATTTCTTTTCCAACCAGGGCCTTAGCTTTGTCAGAGCAAGCCTATCATAGAGGAGACTTTAACTCTATTTGCAGCTGACTACTCTGACGATTAATTCCTGAGTGGGAGTCTTACCTTCTACTGCTCTCCTGCTGTAGGAAAGGAGAAAGACTTTGTATGCTGCCAGGGAAGCCCTCTAGCTTGTAATTGTCAACTAATCTCTCCTAGTTTTCCCTTATCTTTGTCCAAAGCTTCATTCAAACTTAGCAATAAACATCCAATTCATAGTCCTCCTAGCTATTACTTGCCCCATATTTTTCATAGCCTGATCGTTCATAGCTGGCTAAGGTGTTCCCTTCTGCTCTTATACCAGTTCACCACCAGTGGTTTGAGATTATCCCTGTGGGAGGGAAGGAAGAGGAATTGGGTACATGACTTGGATTCAGTTTCAACGGAAGCCTTGGCCACCCTTCTTGAGAGTTCTGAAGAGGGACTGACCCATCAGAGCTGTTTTGAGTTGGGGCAAGAAAATATTGAGCCTTTGTACCCCCACATCAGATCTGTGGGCTACCCCAGCTTTCTTCAGCAGGGTCAGTCCCTGAAGGGAGATGACAATACAAAGTGGAATGGTCATTGTGTAATAAATTTACTAACTTATACTTCTCTTAAAAATGTTTCCCTAGCATCTTTTTATGGTGAAAGTTATGTGGAGCTCAACATCATAGAAGTTTCCTCTGAGTTATCTCTTCAATTAAAATTTCAAACCAGCAAACCACGGGGATTACTTTTTCTTGCAGCGGGGAAAAATGACTACTGTATTATAGAACTTCTATCAGGAAACTTACGGGTAAGATTTTCTTAAATCTTTAAACACATGTAAACATCCAATTACCGGAGGAAAAGCCATGAGAGAGAAAGAGAACAAAATAGCTGTCCATTTGATGACTATTACTAGAATAAAGTCATGTGCCATTTGAAAAGTTTGGATCTCCTCTGAGTTTACGAGCATGCCTGAAATATTCCAACTCTGACATTTTTTAACCTCACTGTATAGCCCATAAATGTGGAAAGCAGTTTCAAGTCCAAGTTTCTCCCCCGCCCCCCACCTCCCCGCCTTATGAATGGCCCTGTTTTCTCAACAAAATACAATAAGATGAGATTGATTAATTATGATTCTTTCTGTTTCAGGTGAGGGTGAATTTGGGTGCAGGTAAACAAGTGCTCCTTTCTGAGGAAAGACTTCGTACAGATGACCTGGTTTGGCATTTAGTGGAACTGTACTATGTTAAAAACAATGTCTCTCTGGTTATTGACAAACATTATGAGACAACGGGCCATATCACCGGTGAGGTGCACAATTTGCACTTTCAACACGGAATCTACATAGCAGGCCACGGTGGACTTGACGTCCCTTACCTGAATGGAGAGCTCCCCAATTTCCGCGGATGTATGGAGGATGTGCTATTTAACCAGGAGGCGATCCTGGCATCCCTTAGATCTTACCCTGGCTTTAAGAAGGTTTATGAAGTGTCACTAGGATGCAGTGACGAATTTTTTGCAGGAGAGGATGAAGCCATCAATTTCTTCAGCTCCAGATCCTATGTCACCTTCCCAGAATGGAAGGTGCCAGGGGAAGGGCTATTGGAATTTGCTTTACAGACTGGAACTCAACAAGCCTTACTTTTATTTCAGTCAGGTAGAGAAGGAAATTTCGTTGCTTTGGAAATAGTTAACGGTCTATTGAGGGCTCATGTAGGATGGAGCAAAAGCAACACCCAGCTCTCTTCATTTAGCTTAGTTAGTGACAACAAGTGGCACGTTATTCAACTGAAGTTCACTGGAAGTTATCTGGCCCTGATGGTGGATGAGCAAGGGGTAAGGACATTGCTGCCTTTGCAAAGCAAGCCATTTGTATCTGAAGGCCCCCTCTTTGTGGGAGGTCTTAATGCCCGTAAGGGAGAAGAAGTTAAGAAGTTAGGATTTGCCTCTGTGCCTAAGAAATCTGCTCGAGGAGTTTCTTTCAAAGGATGCTTAAGAGGCTTGGAAGCCAACTCAGAAAAGAGAGCATTGAAGGATGCCCTTGTTTCCAAAGATATAGCTGCTGGGTGTAAAACGAGGAGTAGTGATAATGAAAATCCTTTCATAACGACAATGGAAAACCTGCTTCAGTCAGAAGTTCCCCTTTCCACCACCGTCGTTGAGGCAGGCAAGCCTTTTTTTCAAGATGCGAGTAGCTATTTCTTGAGCCTGAGTAACTTGGAGATCCAAGAAGGTGGGCGAGCCTTACTGGAACAAAGGCATATGAAAGTGGATGTGGAATCTGAAGATTTGGGTGTCCATCATTCTCAAATTCTATTTAAAATAGAGGAAATGCCCCTTCACGGGTTCCTTCAATTAGATGTTTCCCCTGTTCCCGAAATGGAGAAAGCTTTCACGATGTTAGATTTGAGGCAAGGGAAAGTTTGGTATGTCCATGATGGTTCAGAAGAACCTAGGGATTTTTTCACATTTTCAGTCTCTTCCAACAGCAAGCAGAAAATTCCATTTTATCTGCAAGGCCATGTTCCATATGTGTTCAACATTACTGTCATTCCAGTAAATGACCCCCCACACCTTAAGCTCCCCGAAGGAAACTTGCTTCTCTTGTTTGAGAATTCTAAGAAACGACTGACTCCAAATATAATACACGTGTCAGACCCTGACACAGATTCCTTGAGTCTTAGTTTCTCCATTCTTGGCAACTTCAATTCAGATGCTGGGTTTGTAGAAAACACCAATGATCCTGGGAAAGCGATTAATGGTTTTACACACGGGGATTTAAGAGATGGCAACATTTTCTACGTGCACAGAGGTCCTCGGAACTCCCGGATCCTTCTGAGAGCAAGTGATGGAGAGCTGGTTAGCAATACAGTAGTGTTACGGGTCATGGCTGTTCCTTGGGGCTTTGAAGTGGCCATTAGAACCGGTGTCGTTGTCCAGCAGGGTGGCACAGTTCTGATTACACAGAGTAACTTGTCGGTGGAGGTTAATGGTGAACCGCACGAGATGGAGACCCGCTATGCTATCACTCAGCCACCCCAATTTGGCCAGATTCAGCGGCAGGGGTCAAGTGGCGAATGGAAACAAGTTAGTACCTTTTCTCAGCATTCCATTGATCGGGGTCAGGTCCGGTACCATAGTACATTTCGAGAATTACAGCTAGGAAATGTTACAGATCACTTTAAATTTAAAGTTAACATAGAAGGAAAAGTCAGCGAGGAGCTAATGTTTCCGATTACCGTACGGTGGCTAAAGTTTACATTTCTCAAAAATGTTCCTCTTAAGGTCAGTAAAATAAGCAGACAAGTATTGAATTCTGATCATTTGCAGGCTGTGACAGAGGGTGTGGACGTAGCTCAGAAGGAACTGCATTTTAAGTTGCTGACCCCACCTAAGAAAGGAAAATTGCTACTTGGCAATAAAGTGCTAAAAACAAACTCAGTCTTCAGCCAACAAAACATTACAGACTCTAAGATAAGTTACGAGCCACAGGAGAGGCCCAGGGAAGACACAGAAGATACCTTTAGGTTCTTGATTGCTGCGAAGCACATAGCATCAAAAGATTATACTTTCAGAATAAACTTCGAAGCAGATAAGACACGCATTACTGTGACTAACAGAGGATTATTTGTAAAAGAAGGAGAAGGGAAATTAATTACAAAATCAGAATTATTTGCTCAAACACTGGACAATCAGACCTTCCAATATAAAATCACCCAGAGTCCTCAACACGGGAAGCTGAAACTGATTAACTTGTCAAATCCTTTGAGAAGTCATGACAATATCACCGCATTCACTGATCAAGACCTAGTGGGCGAGCGACTGATGTATGTCCACGATGATTCTGAGACCCAGTGTGATGAATTCCTCCTTGTGGCCTCTGCCATAGCACCAGGCCAAGACGGAGTGGTCAGGGATCTTGACACAGAGCATTTATCTACAGAAATCAAAGTTACCATTTCTGTAGGGTTAAAGAATGATGAGAAGCCAGTGCGCGTGGTAGATAGGGTCTTTCATGTTGTGAGAAATGGCCAGCGCCTGCTGACCCTGGCAGATCTCTGTTACCATGACCCCGACTCAGATTTTGATGATGGGCAGTTGCTCTATACCCGGCGGGGCATCCCAAATGGGGACTTGGTGACAGCCAGTGACCTCTCTCAGAAACTATACCAGTTCAGGCAACATGACCTTCAGGAAGGGCGAGTGCTCTTTAGGCATCGGGGTGCAGACTCTGCTCGCTTTGTGCTGTTCGTGACGGATGGTGTCCATTACACGTCCTTCCTTCTAGAAGTCAGTGCCTCAGACCCTTATGTCCAGATAGCCAACAACACGGGGTTGCTTGTACAGAGAGGAGAGGGCAGCAGCCTCACAGCAGCTAACCTCAGTGTCACCACGAACCAAGATATCAGAACGGACCACGAGATTGAATTCCACATGGTACAGCCCCCAAAGCATGGCCGAGTGCTGGTCAACCACTCAGTGTCCCGCTCATTTTCCCTGCACGACGTGAAACAAGGCTATGTGTTTTATAGGCATGACGGCAGAGGCAATTCTGATATGTTCAACCTGACAGTGAGAGTTAAAGAGGTGTATGTAGACGTAGGCATCTATGTGCGCATGTACTCTGAAAACCACCAACATGGCACCCAAATTCTGCTCCAGACCCTTGTTGTTGAAGAAGGAAAACCAGTAAAACTGAATAGAGGAAGACTGCAGGTAGGTAGTTGCCCTGGCGAGCATTCTGTCTCTCTAAGAGTAATCTGTTTGCTTCTAAGAGCTATTTTTGTGTTAATTTCCCTCCTGGTATTCAGAATGACTTTTTTTTTCTAAATGTAAATGCCATTGAAAAGAAAGGCTGGAAGGTTTCAGGGTTTTGACACTATTGAGCTTCCTATAGTTGGAAATGGAATATAAGGAATCCTAAGTCTTATGTTAAAGCTTAGTGCACACCAGCACATACACTATCTGTGTATGTTTAGTGTAGGATGCACTACACTAAATGAGGAGGTGATGTGTGTATTGGAGTAAATTAAGGAATGAGGAGGTGATGTGCGTATTGGAGTAAATTAAGAGATCTTTACGTTTTTCATTTCTTATAGAAACACTGCCAACATTTCATTTCATCTGAATTACATTCATAATGGGATGAAGCAGGGTATAAAAACTTAGGGCAACTTAAACGTAGAAAGGATTTCTTGAAGAGCAGAGGATGCTATATTACACAGTTAATTTCCTTCATGTGGTCTCATTTGGTTTCCTGAAATTGATGGATAAAATTGGCCTAGACTTGTGGAATGTCTGGGGTGAGACCTCACACCAGAAGGTTTCCTGGGGCTCCTCCTTAGAAGCTTCCAGCAAGCAAAGCCCCACTGATCACACTTAGGAGATCGTGTTCTTTTTAGGGTAATCCTGTATAGGGTGTGTAAACTGTGATTTGTGACAACTGGCCACAAATACAGGCTATTCTGAATCTACCCTCAGGACTGCAAAAGAGTTTACTTGTTTGCGAAATGCAGCCAATAACATCAAGAAGAAATGAACACAAATCAGGAGCAATTTACTAAATGAGTTTGACTATCGGAATATGGGGGTCACCAGCTTTCCTCATTTCTTTTTTAGGATCTTGGAGAGTATGTGTTTCACCACCAGGGGGCATGTGTAGTTTAGTGACTATAAATCAGTTACAATGACTGTTTGAGATGGATTTTGCTGAATCAATAAATTCAATATATATTGAAAACGTTGAGCCAGTTAAAGTGGGAAAGAAAAGTAAACTTTCCTCTAAAGTCTTGAAATTTTAGTGATTCAGCTTCTGCTTCTTCAACCATTTTTTTCCTTCTCCTTATACCATTTTATTTCTTTTTACCTCAACATTCTGAGTCCAGGGTATCTTCCTGCTGAGAATGATGTCTTGTTAATGCATTAGTAGCTTATCAAGTGTTGTTGACCATTACATTTCTTTGCAACCACGGCTAAATGCAAATATTGACATGGTCACCAGAACCAGACCCAGGCTTACACTGTGTATTAACCCTGATTGTAACTTAAGCCATTTGTAGACATTAATAGAAAACAATTTGGCTCATCAAAGGGTCTTGACTCTTATGAGTATTGTGTTTTTCTTTTTGTGTCTGTGTGTTATGTATAAAAACTCAAGGCTGTGCATGAAGATAATATTCCTGCAGAGGCAATGTTCATCGTCAGAATTCCGCCGATGCATGGATACCTCCGAAAATCTTTACCTGAAGAAGGCAGCTTGGGTGCAGATGAAAAGTCCCCTCTGATTTTTACACAACAGGATATTGATGATGGCAATATCCATTATGTACAGATAGCTCCTGAGCAACAACAGGACCATTTTTTACTGGATGTGGTGAGTGGTATCCAAGCTGTGAATGGAATTGAAATTTTGGTGGATATCGTCCCTAAGCGGATTCCTCTGGAGGTACAGAATTTCACAGTCCAGGAAGGTGGTTCCAAAGCACTTCTGGAAGACTATCTCAAAATTCCAAGCAAATATTTTGAGGGAGTTGACTGTGAATTTGTTCTGCTCAAACCACCACAACACGGTTATGTTGAAAATTCTAATTTTCCAAGAATAAAGCTAATGAAGTTTACCAGGAAACAGGTAATAAATCTCAGTTAATACATTTGGGTATATGGGATAAGAGGAAAAAATTGCTATTTGTTATTTAGATTAATGGACTCTCAGGAGTGATGAAACTTGAAAGAGGGTCCAGCTTAACCTCCTAACAGATGCTAGAAGCCTCTTCCATGGTAACCCTATAAAGAGGTCATCCAGCCATTATTTAAATATATTCAGCAATGGAGAACTCACTTCTTCTTGCAGTGGACACTTCCAGTTTAAAAACACGTCAAATGTTAGAAAGTTCTTTATGCTGATCTGAAGTCTGCCACTTAGACACTTCTCCAAGGTCCTGGTTCTGATAGCTCATAGAACAAATCAAGACCTCCTTTTGTAAAAGCTCTTTAAATATTTGAAAGGAAAAGTTATCAAGTTCCCTTGGGTTTTATCTTCTTTGGCTTAAACATCTCTAGGTTCTCCCACTTTGCTCCTGTGTCATGGGCTTCTAGCCCCTGCATCATCCTGGCTGCCTAACGCTAGAGGACCTCCACACTCACTGCCCCACTCAACGTGTCACCCTAGATATTTAACCTAGACATGCTTTAGTCCCTAGTGGATTTACTCCTTTATTCATTCCATTATTCAATCAACAGATGCTGATAGAATGTTTACTTGGTACCGTGCCCTATGTGAGCATAGTGCTATCAATGGCTCCATGGTCCAGTCCCCACAATACAATACAAGCTGGGTACAACTTCCAATCTAGTGTTCAGTGTAAAATAACTAATTAACTCTGGGCTGCTATCAGGTTTCTTTGCTTTGGGCTAGGTTGGTATTATTGTGAGACTTGGCTTTCTTATCATGAATAAAAGAATGATTTCCATTACTTTCTAAGTATTGAAAAGTATCTTACCACCATTTCCTGTATAAGATCCTAGGAATACGCACTCTTCAGGTTAGAGACCTTTAACAACCACCTGGCATCTCTAGGTATCTTTGTCTAGTTAGCTGTAAACCCATGTGGGCTGCTTTATTTTGCTTCTCAGGATTTCATCTTATCAACGGACTTGAATCGATTTATTAAACTCTTATTCTGTTTAAGTTGCTATGCAAGGTTGCCATGATAAGGAGCCATATTGCTTGCTCTCAGGAGATGCTGTGTGTGTGTGTGGGGGGAGGGGATGAGGCATACAAGCTTTAATATGAGGTACCCCCTTTTGATGCCTCACAGAGCATTCTTCAGTGGTGCTAAGGAAGTTCAGAGTTGTTACATCTGACTCTAATTGAAGAGAATACGGAAGACTTCACAGAGGGTATAACGTTTAAGCAAGACTTGAGGAAAGAGAGAAAGATCAGGGAGATAGCAGAGGAGAAAACATTTTTAAAAAGCAGCATGAACAAAGGCAACAGCCTAGCCAAGGACATGGAGGTATTAAAGTGAATTGGTTCTGGGAGCTGCGGAACACCCCGCAAGACTTGTGGTTGGGCTTAGGAGCGGCAGAGAGAACTGGGGTCAGACTGGGGGAGAGTCTTGAATTACATGTTGAGAGGGTTAGACTGAACCAGGAGGCATTAGAGAGCCATGGGGAGAAACAGAGAATCCTGAGGACTGAAAACAACCTTGGAAATCAGTGCTTCTCTACTGGGGACCCAGGGAAACTGATCCTTTAATGCCTCCCTGCAGACATCTCTTCCTCATGGCTTCCGTCTCAATGGCTGAACAAACCCTCCAAGATGACCACTTGCTCTGGTGCAGGTTGAATCTACTGTTGTTCACCTTGTGTGCTCTAGGTGAGGGAGAGAGCACTGAATTGTGGTCCTGTCTTGGCCAATTCATTATTAATTACACTTTGTAAGAAGCGTGTCTTTAGAATGGTTGGTTGAAATCTGTAGGTCAAGTCTGTGTGTTCCCTGGAGTATCTATGTGATTGTGTAGCCTTGTTCACAGTCAAGGTCATGTTTGTCTGCTCTTCCAGATGACCCCTTCACACTTTCTCTTCCTATGTGACTCTAAGGTCTCCAGGTTTTGCGACATCACTGTTTTCACGTAAAGTGGCACTAATAATCCCTAACAACTAGTGGCTATACTGTTAGTGGCTGGGAGAAGGAGCCCCTGACCATGTTTGCCCTTCATTCATTCAGCAAATTGTTTTTGAATACCTATTATGTGTCAGGCATGCCAGTTGTAGGTCCTGGGGATACCGTGGTGAACATATCCAGCAATAATCCATGCTTTAATAATCTTTTTCCTGGTGGAGGAAAGAAGGAGGCAGAGTGAGACAACAGACAAAACAAATAAGTGAAATAAATGGCATATTGAGTGAGGATTAGTGCTGTGGGGAAAAATAAACGAGAAAAAGGAGCTGGGAAATGCTGGAGCCTTCAGTGGTGTGTGTGTGTGTGTGTGTGTGTGTGTGTGTTCAGTGTCAAATCAAATGGTCGGGAGGCGCCATTGAGAAGGCAGCATCCAAGGAGACGCCTGGAGGAGGTGACGGATGGGTGAGTGGGTAGATATGGAAGAAGAGCATTCAGGCAGAGGGAAAGGCAAGTGAACAACTGTGTGGAGAGCAGGAAAGGGACTCCATGCTGTGCCGGGAGAGCTGTAGATGAGGTTAAGGAGGTCCAGCACAGGAGGGCTTTCTACTTCTCCTTTAACATGAAGTGAAATGGGGAGCAAGGAGGGAGGGAACAGACTGGTGACAGGAGACCGAATACTTTTCAGCCTTTTAAGATTTTCTGTAAGTTTGTTATGTCTTTTAAGCTCAGGTGAGCTGATATTTTTCTAGTGTTAGAAGTCTAGAAATAGGCAAAATCCCCACCAGATCTTCTCTTTGCCTTTGGATTAATGCATATTAAATGGCATGTCATTTGGGGGAGTACCACTCCAGGGAAGAAGCGATGTATTTCTCCAGGAAAAATACTGAGGAGGCAACTCGTACTTAAATACTATGTTCCTAAAGCATTTTCGGTATAAATTCTCTCACATTCTGATCAATGCCATCTTCCATGCTTATTTTCAAATAGCTTAAACCAGCATCTTTCAGAACTTGTGCTCAGACCTATGTTCTGGAATTCTTCTGCCCACAGAACTCCAAAGAAATTCCCATAGCACCTTTGTACAGTGGCCAAAACTTTCCCTTGAGACCCTTCATGAACTTTTCAACTCATCAGAAACACCTCTAAGAGATCAAAAGTATTTGCTCAAAGGAAGTGCACCATAGGAACGGGCAAAGTTGAACAGTTGAATTCTCTGGCAGTATTTTATCAAAACAAACACAACCTCAGAGACTTTTTCAGAAGTTCAGCTACTCCTGTTGGGCTTTGGAAGTTGTCTGCCATTGTCTGTTTGGGTCACAGGCTCACTGAAGCTAAGTTCCCTTCCAGCTTTAAAACTCTCTTGGTCTCTAATTATGATCTTGTGCTCCTCAGTATTTTCCGTCAGAGCCTTAAAGACATGAAAGGCATTCTGATCAAATTTGTGGTTATTACAAATCCAAGAGGAATAATTAATTCACTTACTGACCGTTTCAGAATGAAAATAAGAAAGATGAACCCTAACAGGGACCTGAGTAAAGGTTTTCATTTGTGTTATCAGGGTGAGGGAAGTCTGCCTTGATAGACAATTTGGTTTTGATGTATTTCATTATATTCTGTCCACAGGAGATGTGTGGTAGCTAGTTACGGGTAGTGTCTGTTAAGAGATGTATCAAAAAATGATTGTGTTCTGGAGGAGGAACAGGATTAGGAAGTAACATGTATAGTCTCTCATACAAAGAACAGTTAAAGAAATAATGCATGCTTAGTTCAGAAAAGAGAAGTTTGGGGAAACTTAATAGTTGCCCTGGTCCAGATGTCGCCAAACAACCGAAGTCCAACAAGTAAGTAGAAGTTTCAGAGCCTGAACCTAACATTCGGAATTGTCTAACAAAACATTCCACAACTTTAAACATTAGTCACTGTAAATAAGCAAGTAGAGTCTGAATTTTAGTGGGTGTCATTTTTAGTGGGTGTCATTCCACTGGAAAAGCAGCCAAATGATATCACTTACCTACAACACATTTTGTTTGGAGAAATAGCCTTTGAACTCAGGTTTCCCCATTACCAGTCTAGAGTTCTCTTTACTACCCCATGTTGCAGCATCATTCCATTCCTCCTCAAACTTATTTCCAGGATGTGGCATCGCTTCATAAAAACTATGCCATCCATCAAAATCTCCACTCTGATTGTTGGAATCCAACCTCATAGGATGAACACATGCTTCTGTGTTTCAGAGAGGCATAAAAATTAGGATGATAGCAATGTGTTCCTGTTTTTAAATCACATTTCAGTAAATTGGTGATTTTTGTTATTGGTGGTTATAGGTGGAAAATGAAGCGATTTACTATGTGCATGATGATAGTGAGGAGCTTCTTGACAATTTCACCATCTTTGCAAATAGCTCAGAGCTTGGAAAACAGAGTTTGCCCCAAACTCTTTTTGTAACTGTGGAATCAGTAAATGATGAGGCTCCAATAATAACAGCCAACAACATCCTTCAGGTAAGTGCTCCGTGCTTTTTATCATTGTAATCTCAACACTACCAATTTGATTTTCTTTTGTATTATTTCTAATGTTAAATAATAAGACATAGGACTATGTATGTATAATTATCATATTCCTACTGGTTTTAAATAAATGTTAGTTGTTACCAGGACATTCTGTTTGGTAACTGTTGGGAGATGATGAATTCCAATGAGTTACCGTCAGATTGTATTTCTTGAGTGGGTGTCATTCTCACTGTATTCCCCAAGGCATAGCCTCTTCTAGTTAGGGTGGGCAGGTGAGCATCAACTCCCTAGTGTGAAGTGTGTGACGTTGGGCAAGTTATTTAGCCCTTCAGTTTGCTTTTATCGAGGTGGTGGGAAATGGAGGCAGACTTGTGAGGAGTAAGTGATAAAATGATGTAAAACTCTCCCACAGTGCCTGACACGTGGATGGGACCCAATAAATGGTAGCTATCATTACTGAAAAACCCCAAGGCTGTACCAGTATTAGAATTAAAACAAAACAAAACAAAAACACTATACAGTCATGTGACAGTCTTTTGCTGTTTCTGGGAGCTTCCATCACTCTTCACTCTTTCTGAGAATCCCCTGGGGTGCTTCTTAGGCACTCACAGATAAACAAATGTGTTTGAGCTGTCGCACGGTGTCCACCACTTGGCTCCTCCCCTGATCTGAAGCCTGTTTACGCTCAAGTATCCCAAAGCTTTCATTCAGCAGATTTTCTTGGTCTTAAATCACTCGTTCTCACTGATCCTTCTTCTAAAGACTTGGGCGTGAATTTGCTGTTCTGGCTTGGAGAATAATTACAGCTATTGTAGTAGTAAGTGCTCAAAAAAGAATTGTTAGCTATTTACGGTATGTGCCAGGTAACACTCTTAAGAGCTTCTAGCTCACTGAGATGTGCTACCATTTCCCTCACTGGACCATTCCTCATTGGACAGACGAGGAAATCGCATGACAGCTGAATGACAGGCTGAGGACAGAGTGACAGCACGGGAGCCCGATGGCTTGTTCATGTCTTTTGTCATGCTCTCCAACAATGACTGACACCTAGTAAACAAAAAATATTTGGTGAAGGGAAGAGTAAATGAAAATATAAACTGTCAATTCCCCCAGCACTGGCCCACGTTTCAGAGACCGGGCTTTTGTCTCCACTCTTTCTTCCTTTAGTGTAGCTGTATTTCTGGAAGAATCCTTGGCCCTTCGCACATTAAAGCTCCTGGGGGACTCATTCTTCAGATATGCCCAGGTATGGGAATCTGAAGTATTCACTTTCAAATTTGGATGAGACAAATCTTCCAACATATGTATGTGTCAATTTCAGCCTTGTTTAAACCTCTTGTGAGAGTAAATAGTTAATAATAGATACTTTAGGGGTGCCTGGGTGGCTCAGTCTGTTAAGCGTCTGACTTCGGCTCAGGTCGTGATCTCACAGTTCATGGGTTCAAGCCCCGCATCAGGCTCTGTGTTGACAGCTTGGAGCCTGGAGCCTGCTTCAGATTCTGTGTCTCCCTCTCTCTCTCTGCCATCCCCCCCCCCAACCTCAAAAATAAATAAATATTAAAAAATTAAAAAAAAATAGATACTTTAGAAGTCCAGAGGAAGCTGGATAGTCATAAGGGATGCAGGAGAGGTAGACATGAGTAGAGCTCACCAGGGGCTAATCTAATGAGAACATTTTATGTTGTTAAACATGTAAACATTCTGGGGTTTAAAAATCTGTTTTTACTTGCTCGAAATAGTTGGATCTAGGAATAGACTTGTCAGTGCTCTTATTTTACAGCTTGGCTCATTATTCAGCCTCTACATTTTAAGTGAGAAACTAATGGTGTTTATGCCTTTGTAACTTGTCACTTAATTTTGAGTTTACTTCACGGTCATTGTCCCAACAGCCTGGGAATGGTTCTAGCTGGTCACATTGGTAGGCCTACCTCTGTTTTCACAGATTCTTGTTGTACTAGTATCTACTGAATTCATTCTCAGCAAAGCGATCTGAGAAGTAGGTTGTCGCCAGAGTGAGGGATTGTAGGTGTCAGTGATGATTAAGCACAGTTATAAAAGCTTACGTTTATTGTGTGCTTACGGAGTATAGTACTGGGCATCTTCCAGAAGTGGTATCATTTTCACAACCCTACAAAGCATCTTGTTATGAATGTCCTCATTATAATGGGCACCCTGAGACCCAGAGCGGCACCAAGGGAAGGTGTGGGAAGTCTGACTGTCTCACCATCATGCTCTGCCGCTTTGCCCGCCACCCATGACTGACTCAAGCTCTGCCGGTGCATCCATGTGATCAAGGGCTGTGTTTATTAGTAAGAAAAAGCTGTTGTGCCTCTGGCTCCTACCAAAGTGGACTTTACGGAATAGGTCCGCGGCAGTTGGATTGACACACAAGCGTTTGCCCAGGAACCTCGGCAGAGGAGTTGGGCATTTTACTGTGTGGTGCAAAACTGCAGGATGAGGAAGATCCAGGGGGAGAGACCTAAATCTAGACAGACATGGGGGAAGAGCTGGAGTGGGCTGAGGGACAGGAAGACCGAGGAATAAAGTAGTGAACTCTCAGTCTTCCTCGTGGAAAGGAACTGAAGCCCTCTCCTGGGTTTGGCTTGCAGCTTTGAGGTGCCGTCCGTTACAAGATGCACCATCAACTTAACGATACTTTATTGTACTGAAAGATTCCCGTCCATTTAAGGGGTTCAGAACATTAAAATGTGGGAGGAAAAATGTGTACATTAGACTGTGTACATTCTGTCTTCCCTTTAAATTAGCGAGATACAGTCTCTGCCATGAACCTTGAGCTTGCTCAGGCCGTTTGCCCAGACCCTTTCCCCGCCCCCCATCCTCAATATCGGAGAGTTTCTCTCAAGAAAAAAGGAAGAGTAGCTGTGGGCGAGGGCCATTTCCTTTCTTCTTACCTTCTTCCCTGGATAGCCTGGATCCAGGCCAGGAAGGGGGCGACTTCCCAGTGTTAATGGATGTGGTCATTTGATACTGGCTCTTTCTGAATTTATTCAGTAAGAATCTCATTCCCTGCCTTGAACGTTCTGGATTAAAGTTAGAAGAACAGAGTTCAAGTGTTGTAACTTGCCCAGTTTAGGCAAAATTTCTCTGAGACTCCTCTTCCTTGACAGAAAAACCATGATTGAGTTGTGGGTTGGTATATGTGTATGTGTAAAGATACATAGGTTACATATATGTATATTTATTATAAAGAATTATATATAGATATATAATAAATACATATATTATATATATGATAAGGAATTATATTATTACATATTTATTATAAGGAATTGGCTTATGTGATTATGGAGGTGGGCAAGTTCCAAGATCCAAGGGTGAGTTGTCAAGCTGGAAACCCAGGAGAGCCAATGGTATAGTTCCCCTATGAAGGTCACAAGAAGACCTGATGTCCCAATTCAAAAGCAGTCAGACAGAAAAGAATTCTCTTTACTCCCAGGAGAATCAGACTTTTTATTCTCCTCGGGCCTTCAACTGATTGTATGAGACTTACCTATGTGTGGGAGACTTCTCTGCTTTATTCAGTCGATTGACTTCAATGTCAATCTCATCCAAAAACATTCTCATGGAAACACCCAGAATAATGTTTAACCAAATATCTGGGCACCCCATGGCCTAGTCAATTTGACACATAATATTAGCCATCATAGTCCCGAGATTCTATGCTGTCTTTGACTCTCTAAACAGAATCTTCTCAAGACCTTCAGCTTACCACATGACCACTTACTCTCCTTACTTGTCATCAGAGCTTGGAGAAGTGGCAAGAAGGGTTATCTGCAGTCTATTTGGGAGAAGGAGGTGGGGGCATAGGTAGCATCACTGATAGCATCTCAGACTCTCAATAGGACTTCACAAGCAGAAATCTGAATGTTAACCATTCTGTCATAGCATTTCAAATACACCCTTTCTCCTGAAGTATTTTTTTTTAATTTTTTTTCTTAATGTTTTTATTTATTTTTGAGACAGAGAGAGACAGAGCATGAGCAGGGAAGGGGCAGAGAGAGAGGGAGACACAGAACCGGAAGCAGGCTCCAGGCTCTGAGCCATCAGCACAGAGCTTGATGCGGGGCTCGAACTCACAGACTGTGAGATCATGACCTGAGCCGAAGTCGGACGCTCAACCGACTGAGCCACCCAGGCGCCCCTCTCCTGAAGTATTTTAAACAGCATGCCATTAAACCATGGAACTTGTGACTGGTTGGACTCCAAAGTCATTCAGTGGTGCAGGAAATCATTTCCATTGTGACACCCTGGAGTTAGGACGTGGAGTTAGACCAACTCAGGTGAATCCTTTGCATTTTATCATGAAATATATTCTCCTGAGTACTTTTGCATTCAAGTATGACCAGGAATTTTTGGGCATAGCTGACCAAACGTATCTGTGTCCACAAGGGGGCTTCATTTTCCTGTTTTTCAACTTTGGCTTTCAGTACTGTACATTTTGTTTTGTTGTTGTCTTTTATACCCAGAATAGAACCATTTGTTTGTTTCTGATAAGTACTTGTCATCACTAAAAAAAGCTTTGAGAGCTTGGGACAGTGGAAGAATTAGGGCAGCAAAGCCTGAGATTTTGTCTGAAGGCCTAGAAGGGTCGGATAGTGGGATGGTAACTTTAGAAACACTTCACATCCCTCACATGAAGCTCAAAACAGAGGTCTGGGTTTTTAAACATTAGGATCATAATTAGGATTATCCTGGATTGTAATTAGGTCTCTAAATTCCATTGGCCTTCTGTTTAATTTAAAGGTGAATTTAAAAAAATGTATTCCAATAAATGCGTTAAAATTTTTTTTACATATGACTATTTTACCAATGACCGGGCACTAAATCGAGCCTCACCCAAAGCAGTGGGGCAGTGAACTGAACTAAATTTGGTTTGAGTGGAAATGAAGACCTGAAGTTACCAGGTCTTGTTTTGAGTGGCAGGTTTTCCACTTGTTTTGAAAGATGGTATATTACAGAGGCAAGAGGGGGCAAAGGGAGAGTAGCACGGGAGAGTAGCCACAGTGGAAAACATGCTTCATCCAGCTTCTGTATGCACAGTCCTGGAAAAAATGAGTATCTACGAGTCACAGGAAGAGAATGGCAGTGCATTTCCAAACCAGCTTATGTTCCTAAAGAAAGGAGAATAAGACACGTGGGTGGATTTTAAAGTGTAAAAAGTGAAAAAGTAGAATCAGCGGCCTTGGAATTTTGTTAAATAGTCCAGTTGTATATTTTAGAGACACTGGCGGCTTTCCGTGATGAACTGAAGACCAAGGCCCTATCATTTGAACATTAGGCTGATCAGCAATCCTGGGAGCGATTAAAAAACTGATGTCCTTAGAGTTTAGGGCTGAAAAGTCCTCAGTGGGCATATTCCCAAAGCCAAGATGTAAGAGCATCCATTGACAGTACAATCATGAAACAGATGAACTATGCACCCCAAATTATGGAGAGATGCTGTGGAATTAAAGAAAAGCTGAAGTTCATGTTATAGAAGGGCTCCAGTAATGGTAATCATGACACTCCAAATGATTTTTAAGCAATGTTAAAAAAAAAAAAAAAAACGTATTCTATCTTTAGAACCAACTCTGATGAAGGATATGGATAATGTAAAGCTAATATTTATTGAATTCTTACTATGCGCCAGGTGAAGCTTATTGTAAGTACTTTATATAACTCAAATCACTCATTATCCGTAATAATTCTATCATTCCCGGCTTACTAATGAGGCAATTAAGGCACAGGGAAATTAAGAAACGTGCCCAAGGTTACATAGCTGAAATGGTGTATCATGCCTCATATGAAAATGTAGGATCATGTATTTTCTGATATCCCTTTCTCAAATTCTATTTAAATAGTTATTAGATAATGAGTGGGAATGAATTAAGATATTTCATCAACTCCCTACATTACTAAGGAAAGCAGCCCCTTAGACCAGAGAGATATCTTTTAAATCACTTAGGATTGAATTTTTAAACAAGTTGGTAACAAGCATAGATGATAAGGCTCTAGAGAGGGAGCAAAGAATGACGTAAGCTTGAAAGTATGCATAGTGTTTCTATAGGGAAGACATTTATAAATACGGATAGAAATATGAAATTTTAGTTAGCGATAATGCCACCCATTTTTAGTGTTAGTGAAATACCATGTGACTGCGTGGTTATAGAAACTCAAGACAGCCTCGTTCCCTCAAATGTGATTCAATGTCTAAATATATATTTTCAACTCAACATGTTCACGACTGAATTCCTGATGTTACTTCCCAAATCCACCCTATCTGCAGATCTCCTCATTTCAGTTGATGATCATTCTGTCCTTCTGGGTTTTGAGGCCCAAACCAGGGAGTCGTTCTTTCATTCTTCCACCTTTCCTTCTTCCACACCTCACTGCATCTGATTCATCGGAAACCCTGTTGGCTCCTTCTTCAGCATGCACCTAGAATTTGACCACTTCTTACCACGTCAGCCACTTCTGGCCACTCTGTTCTCTCATCCCTCTCTGGGATTATTAGTCACCAGCTAAGTGGTCTCTCTGCTTCTACCCCTGCCTTCCCATGGTCTATTCTTGACACAGAAGCCCAGTTACTCCTCACCTAAAGCCCTACGATGATTCCGCATTGCACTCAAGTAAAAGCCAAAGTTCTTACAGTGGCCATCAAGACGCTGCAGGATTTGACCTTCCACTACGTTCTTGACTCCTCTTCTTGCCTTCTTCATCTCACTTGTTCTTCTCCTGCCATACTGACCTCCTTGCTGCTCCTCATACAGCTGAAGCTTGCTCCTACCTCTGGGCTGTTCCCTCTGCCTGGATGTTCTTTCCCCAGATATCCACATGGCTCCTCCTTCACTTCCTTCCAGTTTTCCTCAAATGAGCCTCCTATTTAACATTCTCCCACTTCTGAGCCCCTCATTTTGCTCTATTTCACTTTTTTTTTTTCACAGTGCCAGGGAACTCCTAACAGTCCATGTGGCTCATTTCTTTATTATGCCTGTTGTTTCTTCCCTGTATCCCTTCATCCCCTCCTGCTGGAATGTAGGCTTCATGAGGATCGGACTCTGTTTCTTTTACTGATGAATTGTAAGCACCCAGAACATTGCCTGGAACATGGTAGATGCTCAATTAATGGTGAATTGTGGGACGAAGGTATTTAGGCAAGGTAAATATATCTTAAATGTAATTGGAAAATAGAGACTATTACTCAGAAATAATTGTAGATGAGCTACCCGCACAGCATACATTGCAAGGCCATAGGCACCAGGTGTGTGTTTTCCTGCAAGACAGGTAAGATAAAGGAAGATATTTTCAGTGTGCAATGTGTGTTTTCCCTCAAATATTTAAAATCTGGTGAAATCATTCGCCTCTTAAAATAATAAATAGAAATCCTTAAATCAACCTCATGAAGTAGGTTCTAGGATTTTCTAAAATTCCGTGTGGAATCTTTGCATATGCTTCCGTCCTTAGCATATGCCAAGCGTACAGAAGGAGCTTAGCAGCCATCAACTTTTATTGTTATTATACTTTATGTAAGTAAATGTGCACTTTAAACAATTAATTTTGAATAAATAATTACAAATGCTATTTTTTAATTGGGACTTCATAAACCTCATAAATTCAACAAACACTACAGCATGTCCTGTATTTCATCAGTTATTTAATTATATGTCTGTTTTGAATTTAGAATCCTCATAGTTTAAAAGCTGTAGTGAATTGCTTTCATTTTTTTTTTTTAATCGTTATTTATTTTTGAGAGAGACAGACCTTGAGTGGGGGAGGGTCAGAGAGAGAGGGAGACACAGAATCCAAAGCAGGCTCCAGGCTCCGAGCTGTCAGCACAGAGCCCGACACAGGGCTCGAACTCAGGAACGGCGAGATCATGACCTGAGCCGATATTGGACGCTTTAACTGACTGAGCCACCCAGGGGCCCCTGAATTGCTTTAGTTTTTCAATCTTTGTGCAAGAAGCCAGAGTAGCATAGCTGTCTAGTTTACTTGTGGGACGTGACTGGAACTGGTCTTTGCAAGATCTGTGCTTCTCTTCTTTTTAAGGTATGGGCGAATTCTGTCACCGAGATTACCAGTGGGGACCTCTGTGCGGAAGATGAGGACTCCTCCCCACAGGACCTCATCTACTGGGTCAGTCCACCCAGCAACGGGCATTTGGCTCTCAAGTCCTTTCCTGGCCAAAGCATCCAGAACTTCACCCAGGCTCAAATCAACAAGGGCCTGCTAGTGTTTGTACACACTGGTATGTCATAGAAACGATGTGAAATTAAAATATGTTTCGATCAGAAGCTAACATGAGAGTCAAACCTAGCAGTTGCTGACTGAAAACCACAAGCCATCCCAAAACCCTCTGGGCCCTGTAATTTTTTTTTTTTTAAGTGGCACATTTTTGTAAGGCTAATGATAGCAAACATCAGAGAGCACCTATAACTCACACATGGCTTACTCACATGGTCATGTAAGGTCGATGCTCAAATATAACGTTCTCAGAGAGCCTTTTCCTGACCGCCCATTAAAAGAGCATCTAGTCTTTGTCCCTCCCCCTCCCTTACTGACTTCCTGACATGGTAGTAGAGAGTGCTTTGTTTATTTGTTTGTTGTCTGTCTTCTGCACGAGAGTGCAAACATTTGTTGAAAGAATGAAATTATATTGAATACCTAATATGTGCCAAGTAATGGTCCTTATGTTAGAGATACATTAGTGAACAAAACAAACATTAAATAGGTGAACACGTAAATAAACTAATGAGTGGTTATAACTGTAATTCTAAAAGACTCTGACATTAAAAGCCTTTTTTTTTTTTTCCTTCCTTCTGTTAATCAATAAGCCAGACAGTCACTGTAAATCTGCAGAAGGGGTGATCCAGCCTGGCTTTGTTTCCAGGCTGCCCTTGTCACTGGGCAGAGGGGGGAATGAGCCCATTCCCAGCCTGTAGGAATGAATGGGAAGGTGTATGAGCCAGGGGGCATGATGGGAAAGCTGGCAGTCATACCTGGTCAGCCATTTTTATTAACTTCTTTGAAAATATAGTAGAGAAAATAAAGTTAAAAAAAATCTTCTAAATTCAAATATAGTAATTTCCTAATCTTTGCAGTTAATGGAAAGAATCCCCAAATAATCTGAAAATAATTTATTATGTGAGCGCTCTCAACTAGCAGTTCCAAACCAGTAGCCTGAGGACCTCTAGGGTTAATTTTATTGCAACAAGATACTAAATCTACCACATACAGACGAAAGCATTGTTCCTAGACTGGATGATCTTTTCCATGTATGCATGTTCTCATTTTTTAAATGTGTGCAGATGTGCTGATTAACAAGATACAATTCATTTAAATAGGCACTGAATTAATAGGAAGTTTCCGCCAACGAAGTGTGGTTTTGATTATTAGATACTGACAATCTGAGTATTATTAGACGAGGGCCTAGAAATGTTTTTATTTTTCGAAAAGATTATCGTATTTTCAAAATCCGGAGAACTGTTCTAGCGACTCCCCCAAGGGAAGTTTCCGATTCCTACAACTATGTAGTTTGCAATGAAAAGGAATCATTGACTCTCTGGCCCTTGCTGGCACCGCAGGAAGTGTGGTCACATGACCCACTTCGTTTACTCTGCAGAAGTTCTCTGAGCCAGTACCTCTGAGCGAGGTAGTGAGCCCATTTTAGAGATGAAGAAACTGAAGCTCAGAAAGATGTAAGTTGATCTGACCATAAAGCTGGGCGTTCTCCACTCTCTGCCACCCCACTGGAGGCCAGAGTCAGTTGAAGAACTACAGTGATTATTTGCAGTGAAGGACTAAAATGAAAATTAGCGCTCTGGACTCATTTAATTGTCAACTACCAGATCCGTGTTCGCTTTTGGCTGGTAAGGGAAATAATTTCTCCTAAAAAAGCAGGAAGGACAGTTAAGGCAAGCTCTTTGAAAGTCAATCCATTCCATCTTCTAAACGGCTGCAGAGGCAGTGATGACCCTCAAAGTGGCTGGAGCCCAGCTGCAGGGGGGGCTGTTGCTGAGACCAGCTGGTCCCCTCAGCTACATCTGTCCATCATCGACCCCACACACAGGCTTAGGTTTAATTAGTCCCTCTTAGCATTTATATTTGCAAAGTGCTCTGCCATTAACCTAATTCATTTTTCACATAACAACCTAAGTAGGTTGATAAAGGCATGACGTGGGAGGCTAAGTGATTTCAGGCTGCCCTTCGCAAAGTACTGTCAGAAAGATCTGAGGTTGTACAACAGAAAATCTATAGGTCACCCCTACGCTCACGTTTCTGTCCTTTCCTCTTTTTGGCCATAGTGTGATGGTTAGGGCATTCCCAATGTATCATTCTAGTATTCATTTTGATAGAATTCCTTTTGATTCCATTCCCACTTTGTTTCTGGATTCGTGAAATGTTGAAAGTGCCTAGTGGCAGAAAGCATTCTCTCCCTAATTTCATGTTCCATGAAATACAACTCTCGAAGTGCTATTTCTAGTGAAAACAAGCAAGCCAGCAAACAAACAAATAAAATTTGATTGTGGGTCCCTGTTTTAAATTAGGCAGACTCAGAATTTTCTCTCTCTCTCTCTTTTTTAAACTATGACTCTTGAGTGTATTGGGAACTTTTATAAAGCCTGTAACCTTTTTTTGTGAGGACTCAGAATTCTGGGTTTGCATAGATAACAGAAACTCGAGAGGCTGGCAGGCCATCGACCAGCTCTTTATTAAATTGTGTTATTAAGGGAGTACTTGTACGTAACTGCAGAGTCTGACCCTTCTTTGTTCCTTGCCACATGTCCCTGAGGGCAACAAAGAGGACATTTCTACCCATTACATGATGCAAAGACCCGTGGGCCTCCAGATTTACTGCTGGCTGAACATTTTCAAAGGGTGATGGGAATGCGAACATCAGGCTGTCTACATTGTGAGCTTGCCTGGTGCTTTGTGAGTCAGACTGGTAAAGCGCTCCTGGGGACGGGATCGATAGGGGGCCTGTCTCAATTTCTGTAACACACACAAGTTAATTTATAACTTTATTGATAGCACTAATCCTTAGACAGAAGTGTGGGAGTACCTTTCTCCTCTTGGAGGAATATAACAAAAGCCGGGCCTGGATCACCTTCCCCACTCTTTGCCACCTTAGCGGAAAACAGCTAGTTTGAGTTCAGTGAATAATTAGAAATTATTTGGAGGGAGGGACTAAGTGTTATTTACTACCCCCTAGTTTTGACTTTAGTATTATTAAGTAAGCATTATCAATATTTCAGAAACTGCTTGTGTGTGTGTGTGTGTGTGTGTGTGTGTGCATGTACATGTGTGCAGCATGCAGACATTACTTTTGGTGGCGTAAACTGATTCCAAGATAATAAAATGCAGGTGATGAATATGTTTAAAAGATTTTTTTTAATTTCTTGGAGGTAACATCTTTGCTTTCTCTTATTAGGTCATGGCGGGGAGGAGAAATAAGCATTTTAGACCTTTATTACTGTTCTTTTAACTTCACATCTTGGCAACATTTGGTTTGCTGAGCTCAGTGACTCTATGAACACATTCTCCCGTTGATAGGGGGTGCTTGGCAGTGGGATCAGGTGGGAGACAGGGTGAAAGGGGGTGGCTTTTGCAGAACAACCGAAGTGACCAAGGCGTAATTCTTCTTTTGAAGGAGCCATGTCAGGAGGCTTTAACTTTCAGGTTACTGATGGTTTGAACTTTGCACCGCGACAAATATTTAGCATCACCGCTCGAGCCCTGACCATTAGCTTAGAAGTAAACCGAGGATTGAGCATCTTTCCAGGTAAGATTTTAACTTGAGTGCATTTGGGGTTAAGTGGTTTTCAATTTATTTAGAAAGTTCTACCTGCAAGGTAAGAAGCGCCATCATTTACCATCGAGTGATACCAACAACAGTTATAAAGTCACGGGAAGAATTCTGTCTTTGCAGGAACTCAGCAGAAACTAGGCTGGCTCTGTCCACCCCTTCTCTCTTTCCCTTCTCTTGCTCCTCAGAGAAGATGTGCCGGTGAAGGGCAGTGGGAGACCAGAGTCCCTGAAAGAGTCATGACGCACGTGCACTTTTTCCCTACTCCCTCCGTAGGGTCCTTGAAAAGCAAGGAGGGCCAGGCTCTGCAGTGACCGTCTGAATCTTGGATTTCCTTTTTCTAAATATAAAAGCCCTGTGCATCAGAGGGCTGTGAGGGATTCCACTGAGTGCTGGCTTCAGGGCCCTGAAGCCTCTGGACTGCTATTTGCCAAGAATCTCGGCTTGGCGGAGATGGAAAAATCAAAGTGCACATCTCTGGCTCAATACCCTTATTGCGGGGATAGGGAAAGATTTACCCAATGGCAGAGGTGATAAAAAAGAAGAACAAATGTTTAAACTTGCTATTTAAAAAGAATGCACTGAGGGAGACCAAACAGAAAACAGTTAAATTTATATTACAGTTTAAAAAAACAAAACCAAAAACGTGCACAGTGACTTGTTTACTTGGTGTGTGTTACCAGTAAAACATAGATGGAGAAAGACATTAATCATTTCATTAATTATGATTATTCTATAGTCACTTTAGCCGGTTGTTCTCAACCAGGAAGCTTTTAAAAATAGCAGTGCCTCAGGGTGCCTGGGTGGCTCAGGCAGTTAAGCATCAGATTTCGGCTCAGGTCATGATGTCACAGCCGGTGAGTTCGAGCCCTGCGTCAGACTCTGTGTTGATGGCACAGAGCCTGGAGCTGCTATGGATTCTGTGTCTCCCTCTCTCTCTCTGCCCCTCCCTTGCTCGCACTCTGTCTCTCTCTCTCAAAAATAAATAATAAAACATTAAGAAAAAAATTTAAAAAACATAGCAGTGCCTGGGCCTTACTTTATACCCCTTATACTGGAGTGTCTGCGATAGGAACGGCCATCGTTATGTTTTCTAAGTTCCAGGTGGTTCTGAAGCACAGCCAGGATTGAGATCCATGGGGCTAGGCACTGTTCTAATCTTTGAGTCCTTACATCCATGTGAGGTAGATGATATATTTACAGGGGACCTGGCAGGATTTGTGGCTTACAGAGACAATGTGATTTAGCTGTGCCACCAATAAATGGTGGATAAAACTCGCATACTTCTAAGGGAAACCTAGGGAAAAGTCACAGTAACTTCAACAAAAACACAGTTTTTTAAGAGAAATACTGAAAGTTTTAGTCGCCTTAGCATTTGAGCTCCTGAAAAGAAACCTTATTAAAGTCCAGTTAAAGATACGTTGACCCAAATTCTTTTATTCCCCCAACGGTTTTATGTCCCATAATTTTTCTCTGGGAATAACTGTGATGTTTTCATAGATTTTTTTTCAAGGCAATTCGGGTGGCATTTAGTGTTTAAAAGTAAGCAAACTAGGAATCTGGAAATGTAGTAATTTACCAAAAAAAAAAAAAAAAAAAAAGTTCTGAAATCAGAGTAAATCTGGTTGCCGCAAAAGACTAAATACTCTTCATCTATTCTGGCTAAACTCTGGTTTAGTAATTGATGACAGTTGTGTTAGCCTACAGGGGAGTTAAAGCCACCACAGCTTAGAAAGTTTTGGGTTTCTGGCGCCTGTTTTACTGAATATTAGTTTAGCAAGAAAAATACGTGAAAGTGGACCAAATTGTCACTTTTGTGGAATTATGCAAAACATGTAGTTTTCATAGCCCTCTGTTTAATATTTGGGCTCAGCCGGGAGTAACTGACTCTTTTCCCTTTCCAATGTGCCCTGCCCCCCTCCTGACACGGCCTCCCTGTGTCTGAGAACTCCACACCGGACCTTGTGCATTCTTCCTACATCCCAACAGAAGCGGCTCCATTTTCCAAGCTTCCCCCTAGCTAGCACCCAAAGTCTGCTATTGGTTTCCGAGTCGCCCCCCATCCCCAGATTGTGACTTGTTTCCAACTCCAGCTCCTGGCCAGTAGGAAGGAAGTTGGAGTTTCATGTATATTTCCATTAGGTGGCTATGTCTGATAAAATCTCCACTTGGGTGGGTGTGGAAATGACAAGTGCAGAGTCCCAGATTTACGAGTTGGGATGGACCTGACGGGTCAGTTGGTCCAGTTGTTCTTGGTGTTTTTCCTATCCTAACGTCCCGAGTGGTACGGGCCCCTCTCGGATCTAGTGTGGGCGTGGTTCGGATGACCACACCTCCTCCTCTCTCTAGGGACGCAAGTGAGCCTTGCTCAGTTGGCTTCTCCACTAGCCACTGAAGGATGTTGGTCTCTGCTGCTGTGTGAAGGTATGGGGGAATGATGATAGATGCCCACTCTTCCTCTTCCCTCAGGACACCCCTCATCATGACAGGTGCTGCTGAGAACAGGCTCTGAGTGACCTCTGCCTCCCTCATCTATCAGCCAGTACTTTGGCTGAAAGGGAAGGGAGGCACTCCATGCCCCCCTTCCAATGTGACTCCAGGTGTCAGCTGTCAGCTACTGCTGCTCTTGTCAGACTCCAGTTGACCTATAGGTTCTAAAATATCAAGGAAATTCTAGTGCTTTTTATAGAACTATAGATTTTATAAAACCATAATAGCAGGAAATCTATTCTTGTTATAGAATGGACATTCAGATACTATCACTACCTGTGTTTTTACTGTGCTTTTCATCTTTATCTACTACAGTGGATTGTTTTAAGGATTTAAATGAAAGAATGTCTATAAAAGGAAGTTGCATCACCCCTATTTGGCATGATGCAATGTTGATAAAAAAAACATTGGTGCTCAGGCAGTTTCAGAGTCATAGAACTAATAGGAATCATAAGCCCAAGACCGAGTGCCAACTCTCAACCCCAAATCTTATGCTGGAATCATGGCAGCTTTTCTCCTTTCTGTGTGTGACTGTGTTCCAGGGCTGTGTCCATTTTAGAACAGCAGTTCTCCGAGAACGAGGTCATCATGGAGTCTCTTTATTTTGTCTCCGCGATATATCATTGGTGGATTGACATACACAACCAGGAGAATATGCACAGCAATTTAGTAACGGCGATGATGATGTAGAAATTTTGTGTGTTTTGCTCCCTTCAAGTAAGGAAATACGGCAACCCAGCATCAGTTCACTTTTTTTTTTTTTTTTTTTTTACTTACACTAGTCCCCATACCAGTTGGACTTTGACCACCAGCCTGACAGACTTTGGCCATGCTATTTTGCCTTCCTTGTGGACTCAGTCTTAAAAAGTGGCCCTGACTTGAGACCTGTAAGAATTTGTAGGATGAGCCAAAATACTTGTAGGAGTACTTAGGAGTACTTGTAGGAGTACTTGTAGGCATACTGGGTGAATATTTTAAGGTTAACCATAGCTTCTGTGCCCTGCCTAGTTTGAAAGGCATTTTTTAACTCAGTTATTTTAAAGTAGGAAGGACTGCAGTTCTAAATGACCTCTTTTTGTGTATGAATGAAGAAAAAACATCTACTCAATGGATATTTTAATTTTGTTATTTTGTGTATGTATATGTATAAATACTCATACACACATACACACATGTTCTATTTCTTCCTGCAAAATTTATTCCCCAGAAAATTTTATAATTTTATAACCAGTTTCTCACCTTGAATGCTACTATCGAATGTGTTTGTTTTTCTTCAGTTGTGACATGTTAGAACATATTGTGACCTCAGGACCTAGTTTTTCTGCATATCCAAATGGTACTTGGCTCTTTTACAAGGAGTGTTGGGGAGGGGTTGACTTGGAGAGTTTTTTCAAACTAGTCTAGAATATAAGCTTACACAGTAGCTGATCAGTGAAGGGTATTCATAGCAGACTGTGTTACTTCAATCCCCTTGGGGTTCAGTCATGCTACAGAGGGAATCACATCTCACCAACGGGCCATCTGTCCTTTGAGGTGGGCATTGAGGGAGGGAAGAAAGCAGAAGGAAATCACACTGTGTTGCTAGAGTTTGGAGCAGAGATTCCTAAAAACCTTTTAGTCAGCTCGTCTTGCAACACTGATTTGAATATTGTAAGACTTAGTGGGAGATAATCCAGAAGTGTAAGAAGATTGTCAATTCTCAAGGAAAAAAATGAAAGGCTTGCTAATTGGTGAACTAAGAGACTTAGACTTAAGAGTGCACTAACCATGCATAGCATATGCTAAGGGTCCAGTGAGTAAGCGACCACTGGGTAAGCGACATGAGTTCAGGGGAGGGAAATCTCCCACAGACTGCAATAGTCAGGGGGAGCTCTTTGACCAGACAGGTCTTGAGCTGTCCCTTCAGAATAAGTGCATTTCAGTGAATGGCAACAAAGAGGGGTGAGCATACCAGAGAGCCCAGCATGGCTGTGGAGGAGAAGACCAGGGAAGAGGTTTGGCACGATGTGTTCGGAAAGTGGAGAGGAGAATCTGTTGGATTTGTTGAGTGATTCGTCACATTTCCTAACTCAGTTATCAGTCCAGCACTGAGCTTAAAGTAGTATGGTAGAGACAATATAGTGTCAATTTTAAAAATATTCATTTCGGAGTAAGTGAGACCTACATTTGGCTATTAGGCAAATTGCTTAACCTCTCTGACACTTTTTATCCCTTCTTAGTGAGGAAAAAGAATCTGTATTTCTTGGGATTGTCATGATATCCACAAGGAATGGCAGGACTGCGTCTGTGCTGTTTCCTAGTACATCTCTACCCCTTATGTAGAGGTTGTCATGTGCGAGGCACTTGCTAATGTCTGTTGAAGAAATGAGCAAGGCCTTCTAGCCTCATGACCAGGAAACTCTGGCTGTTATGGAGGTGGTTGTTTTTCGTGAAACAAACACAATAGGATATAAGTATGTTTGGGAAATGCTGTATTTAAGAGAAAGATAAAGTAGATTCCTTTACTGGGAGACTCAGTCTTTCACATGCAGATTTGCTTTTCAAATCTCTAAGAGGTGCATATGGAGTGAGGCCTAGCCAAACAGATATGGTCATGAGCCTTTTATTGCCACACTTCTTATAGGATGGTCACTCTATGGAATATACAGGTAGGTAGGACCTTAGAGAAATCCTTCCCAAATTAAGTGCCTGGAGTTCACTGATGAAAATATCAGTGCTTGCAATAAAACGAGGTGGGGTGAGGGGAAAATGGTGTTTGGCTTTCTGTGAATTGGGCTGGACGAGAAAAGATGCTCATCAGTCAGTTACAACATGGAGCCAGCTAGTCTTGCTGACTGAGCATGCCCAGGATGGCTGCCGAATAGGAATTAAACCCTAGAAACCCTTCAGGGTTAGGCAGATGGACAAGGGAATGGGGACTGATGTACCGTGGCTGAGAGAAAAGCGCTCTCGGTCTGGAGCATCTCTGGTGGGTCTTCTCCCCAAAAAGGTTAAGACATAAAAGGTTATGATACTGTTTTAAAGAAAGAATCCCTCCTATCCACCACTACCTGCCAAAGGTAGCCCTGGAGGTAAAGGAATAAGTGAAAAGTTAGAGTCCTTTATAAGAAAGAGATAATTAAGAAGGCACAGTGGGATGGATGCCTGAGTGGCTCAGTTGGTTAAGTGTCCAACTCTTGATTTCGGCTCGGGTCATGATCTCACAATTTGTGAGGTTGAGCCCCGCGTAGGGCTCTGCGCTGACAGTGCGGAGCCTGCTGGGGGCTCTCTCTCTCTCTCTCTCCCTCTCTCTCTCTCCTATCTTGATCACATGCTCTCTCTCTTTCAAAATGAATAAATAAGCATTGGGAAAAAAAAAAGAAGGCTCAGTGGGGAAAAGGTCCAAAGAAAAGCTGAAGATAGAGAATTTTGGGTACCCAGAGACTGCACACATAAAAACACAATCCACCTGACAGAATGAGGGAACCCTATGTTGGCAGGTAACAAAGAACGGGCCATAGTTGACTTCGTGTAACACTGACTATTGGCCTCGCCTGTCAACCTCAGATCCTGGGCCCCCAGCTCCAGAAGCTGGAAGAGGGCAGTGTCTGCAAAAGTTTCAGCAGCAAAGAAGTAAGAGAAATGTGGGAGGCAGTTACAAGCATCACACGAGTATTTTGGGGTAACTGCCAAAATTGTGCCAAGGGAGTCCTGAACCCAGACCTGAACTGTGTCCCTGAGGCTGACATTGGCAGACACTCCTGCCTCAGCCCTAGAATCCCAGGACCTAGTACCCAGCCCAGGGGCTCAGACATTTTGTTTTGTTTTATTTTGTTCTGTTTTTCAGATCTACAGAGAGGTATACTTAACAAATTTTTAAGCTAGCCAAAGTACGCAAAATGATGATTTGATATACCTACACATTGTGAAAGGATTATTCCCCCCATCAAGTTAATTAACAAATCTATCACCTCATATATTTATCTTTCTTCTTCTTCTTCTTCTTCTTCTTCTTCTTCTTCTTCTGAGAACGTTTAAGTTCTACTGTCTTAGCAAGCTTCAATTATACAGCATATTGCTATCAACTGTAGTCACTGTGTCATACATTAGATCCTCAGACCCTATTCATTTCATAACTGAAAGTTTGTATTGATTACCAACCTCTTCTTATATTTTCCATCCCCTGGCAACCACATTTCCACTCTCTGTTTCAATAAGTTCAACTGTTTTTTTTTCTATATATATATATATATATTTTGTAGGTAAGTGATAACATACAGTATTTGTCTTTCTCTCTCTGGCTTATTTCCCTTAGCATAATGCTCTCAGCTACATCCATGTTGCTGCAAATGACAGAATTTCATTCTCTTTAATTTTTTTAAATTTTTATTTATTTTTGAGAGAGAGAGAGAGACAGAGAGACAGAGCATGAATGGGGGAGGGGCAGAGAGAGAGGGGGACACAGAATCTGAAGCAGGCTCCAGGCTCTGAGCTGTCAGCCCAGAGCCAGATGCAGGCTTGAACTCAGCTGTGAGATCATGACCTGAGCTGAAGTCGGATGCTTAACCAACTGAGCCACCCAGGCACCCTCAGAATTTCATTGTATTTAAAGCCTGAATAATAATATATGTTATATATATATACATATATACATATATATAATATATATATATATATACACATATATATTTGTATATATGATTTGTTTCTTCAAGATTATGGTTTTGTTTCCTTTGGATATATACCAAGAAGTAGAATTGCTGGATCATATAGCATCGCTATTTTTAATATTTTGAGGAACTTCCATACTGTTTTCCACAGTGGCTGCACCAATCTACATTCCCTCCAACAGTCCGTGAGGGTTTTCTCGTCTCCACATCCTCACCAGCATTTGTTATTTCTTGTCTTTTTGATAATGGACATCCTGACAGGGGTGAGGAGATATCTCATGCAGGTTTTGATTTGCATTTCCCTGATAATTAGTGACGTCGAGCACTTTTTCATGTACCTATGGGCCATTTGTATGTCTTCTTTAGAAAATATCTGTTCAGGTCCCTTGCTTATTTTTAAATTGGGCTATTTGGCTTTCTTGCTATTGAGTTGTATGAGGTCCTTGTAGATTTTGAATGTTAACCTCTTACCAGATACGTGGTTTCCAAATATTTTCTCCCATTCCATATGTTGCCTTTTCATTTTGCTGATGGTTTCCTTTGCTGACCACTTTTCAGCTTGATGTAGTTCCAACTTGTTTACTTTTGTTTTTGTTGCTAGGCATTTTTTAAAATGTTTATTTATTTTTGAGAGAGAGAGAGAGAGAGAAAGAGAAAGCACAAGCGGGAGAGGACCAGGGAGAGAAGGGGACAGAGGATCCGAAGAGGGCTCTGTGATGACAGCAGAGAGCCCTGTCACAGGACTCGAACTCAAGACCCACAAGATCATGAAGTGAGCCGAAGTCGGATGCTCAACTGACTGAGCCACCGAAGGGCCTTTGTTGTTCAGCGTTTTAAAGGGAGCCTCCAAATCGAAGGCTCAGAACAAAGCTCACACGTCTAAAAATCTTACCCAAAGCCAGCTTCCCCCTTTGTTAGTTAGGTCCCACTTTTAAGAGCTTGATATGGTTTAAACACTGTAATTAGAGGCCCTTGCTTTCTAAGGCTACAATACTTGATAAGTAAAGCAAAACAGATGTCCTTCAGGAGGTTTAGTTCTTATTAGGTGGTTGACTGATGAACTTGTTTCATAAACAATTTATAAAGTGCCTACTTCAAGAGCTACCCTGCGCAAAGCATAATGCTAAGCCTTTAGCAGGGCTAAGACAGAATAGATAAGGTGAGATTCTGGGCCAGGAGGACTATGAGACTCGCTTTCAGACCTGCCACCCTGTAAGGCTGGGGACATTCCCTCCCAGTCAGTGTGAAGTAAAGGGGTATGTAGTCCAACTCTGTGCTCCCAAACTGTGGTCCACGCACCTTCTGGTCTGTGAACTGATAAGAAGAGAAAATATTTAGAATTTTGTATGCCACTCTGACCTTGCTGTGACATTTTATTGTATTTTATAAAACTATCAGTGAACAGAGGATTGGAGGAGGAGGGAAGCCCTGATCCTTCACCACAGACCATTTGAGAACCACTGCCCTACCCTGCATGTCCCAAGCCTCTCTGGGCTTTAGTTGCCACATGCGGTCACATTTGCACACAAACTCGTGTGTTCCTGGTTCTTCGTCTCTTGGCATTTGCAAAGGTCCCTCCCTCCCCACAACGTCCCTGAAGCCTGCAGGTCTGGGGTCCTCTGGAAATGTTGCACGTTTGCTCAAGAACCCACTTCTTCCCCAGATGCCCACGGATGGACACTTCATTGAACACACACAGCCACAGGCAGGCCAGGGTGCGCCTGTCCCCCCCAGGGGAGGGCACTGTCTTTCGTTCTCTCGGCGCACATAGCCAGCTCCCCCGTTCTGCACTCCGAGCCACACACACTGCTATTGCCTTTTACCTGTGGGGATCAGTAAGCTGTGCAGGACCAGGCGGGGACTGGGGAGGTATGTTTCCCTCCTTCATCTCCAGCTCTAGTGACCAATCACATCCTTAAATAGATGCCTTCAGGGTCATGAGCCCCTCACAGCACAATTTCCAGTTAGAGCTGGCCAGTCCCGTGTGTCTTCCAGAATTTTCAGGGCTCTTTAAGGATCATTTTGTTATCTGGCAGCCTTCATAGGCTTCATACTTAAATGCCTGCTTTCATCTTCACTTAGGTTCCACGAAACCCCTTTCATCCGGTGACCTGAGAGCTGTGACCAATGATGCGGACAGCACAGGAAACAGAACTGTAACTTTTACGGTTATAAGTTCCCCTAGACTTGGGAGGTTGGTGCGAGTAAATTCTGACAACAGCACAGAGGATGTTTCCGTGTTTACGCAGACTCTGGTGAGTCCTGACATCCATGCAGCTGGGCAGGCCTGGGTGGCTGTGCAGGGTGGCCCCTGGCTTGCCTTCACCCTGTCAGGCCAAGCTCACGTGCCCCTTTGCCCAGGCAGTTACGCATTTCAGCCGTGCTGGTTTTCGAAACCAGACATTTAGTAGTAGCACAGGATGACACAATTGTCCGAAAACGCTAAGCAAATTCAAACTCTGTGTCTAACACATATAAAGGAATCCTTTTATCACGAAGACAGATTTTAAAGGAAGCCCAAAGCAGAGGAGCAGGAATAAATCCTGCAGGACACTTTTGGGTAACATTTATATTTAATGCGTAAAATTATCAACATTATTTAGTATTGTATTGTTAGATGTGTATATATAAATCTGTATTTAATCTGTGGCCAGAACCATCTGTTTCAAACATGACTAGCACTTTACCACCACCACCACCACCATCCACGTACCTTTTTATTTAAATGGATAAGCTTTCTTGAATATGATCCTTGCATGCTGTTCACCCTTCTTTTCCCATTCTTAAACAGTGGGTACACGGATTCGATAGCTGATTTGGCTGGAGCGTTACGTGACTAGGAAATTTTAAAAATCTGAAGTCATGTTTAGGAGAAATAGCAAGAGTGTCCACCTTTAACCTTAGAGCCATTTCTCTCCAATGTGATATAGCCGAATTGAATCTGGCTTTTGCCTTGTAATTGCCTTTGTCCGGGATGCATGGCCGGGAGCAGATCATGAGGCAGTACAATCTCTGAATGTAGCCCTGAAAAGAGGAAGTATAAATTCTCTAGTTTACAAATGCGCTCTGGAGGAAGAAAAAAAGGGTTAAGATGAACACTGCAGTGTGTGGGGAGCTTAACGCATCAACACTTGCCCAGGGTCAGTTTGGATTTTAAATAATGACAAGAATGATATCAGTCCTATAAAGATGCCTTGGCTCTTGCCCTCGTTCTTTAAAAAACAAAACAAAACAAAATTAAAAAACCCTTTTTTACAGTGATCATGCCAAGCATGAACTTCCACTGGTTTTCACTGCAAATACACAATCTTTTAGCTGAATGTGGTCTAACTAGGCTTTCGTGAATATGTAGCCAGGCTCCACTAGGTTATGCTGCGGTAACAACTCTCAAATGTCATGACTGACAGTAACAAAAGTTGATTTCACGCTTATGCTGTATATGGGCTGCGAGGTGCCTACAGGTCTGCTGTGCACCTCTCCTTTATTCCAGGACCCAAGGGGAGGGGGCAGCCCCTCTCTTGGACACTGCTGTATTTGCGGCAGAGGAAAAAGAAGTGACGCTAGAAACACACAATGACTCTTAAAGTTTGTGCTCAGGTATGCCAGGTATCACTTCTGCTCACATCTCATTGACAAAAGAGTCACACGAACAAGCCTGATGTCCGTGGGGCGGGGAAGGACAGTCCTCTCACAGAGAGCAGACCCTGGATAATTGGAAAACGACAGAACACTCTACCATAGGGGGCTAGCCTGGTAATCTGAAAGCTGTTTATGATACATTTTCCTATGAAAACAAACCACTTTCATCATCCAACACCATTATAAACAGGAATTAAAACCCCAGCCTAGTTAAAAGGCTTGAGGGCAGGCAATAAAAGTCTTGATTGATTAAAATCCAATTATTATAAGGTTTTAGTTTTCCTCTCATTATTCCTTCCTCTTTAAGAATCAAGAGGCAAGTGTCAAAACATATTAGCAGTGGCGGGTGTTGGCTGGGGCAAGTGAGGTGTTAGATTGGGGCTCAGGGCTATAAGGGCCCTGCCAAGGGGTGTCCGGGACCAGAGACCTTGGGTCCAACTGTTGGTCTTTCCTGTGGACACAGGGCAGGCTCATCTGGAAGCACAGCCTGGGCCGTGCCACAAGTCAGGCATGCTGAGAGAGGAGTTTCATTGTTCTTGAATGGACCAGATGTGTGGCTCTTCTCAACATACAAGGCCTTTTCCTCTCCAGGCCAAGCACTCACCGGGCCAGCAGCCTGTCCTAGTGCTTTTGACTCAGAGGACAAAGGCAAGCTCCCTTTATTGTATACAAGGCCCCAGATTGTGCATCAAGTCCTGATGCGAGTATATTCCTGGACACGACAATTCCTGGGTCCTTGAGCAGAGCATAGGCTTGAAGACAGCATGTGAGATATACTTAGAGATGTAGAAATTCAGCCCAGTGGCCCACACTCTGTGTCTGTGGTGTGTGAGTATGAAACAAACACCTCATTTATGAATCGGGCGCCCTGTGCGCCTGGGTGGCGCAGTCGGTTAAGCGTCCGGCTTCAGCCAGGTCACGATCTCGCAGTCCGTGAGTTCGAGCCCCGCGTCGGGCTCTGGGCTGATGGCTCAGAGCCTGGAGCCTGTTTCCGATTCTGTGTCTCCCTCTCTCTCTGCCCCTCCCCCGTTCATGCTCTGTCTCTCTCTGTCCCAAAAATAAATAAACGTTGAAAAAAAAATTAAAAAAAATGAATCGGGCGCCCTGTGGCTGCCGCTTGATCTCCTGCTGACTGCTCGGCTGATGACAAGTCTCTTGGCTTCTGAAATCAGACCTGGATTAGCTCTGTGAGTTAGGGCAAATTACGTGTCTTTTGAACCCCAGTTTCCTTATCGGTAAAATGAAGAAAACAGTAGTAATGATAATTGAAACCATTTTGAACATTCATCATGTCCCAGGCGTCGTCCTAAGCTGTCTTCTCTACTACTGATGATCTCACTTTATAGGCTGGGATCCTAAAGCACAGGGAAGTTAAGCAACCTTCCCACAGTTACCCAACTCAGGGGCACCCGAGCCTTAACTTGAACCCAGGACTTCTGACACTAAGTCATGCTCCTATCCACCAGGATGTCCTTTCCTCTAGGAGCGTGTATGGATTAACACAGTTGACGGGTGCAAAATGTCTAGGACACCATTCCACACGCAGCAGACACGAACTAAATGCTAGCTAAGGCTGCTGTTACCCTTTTTGTTCTTGGAAATGTGTGAGGTTCCTTTCCTCTCCCAGTAGCTAAAAGACTGGTTTCACAAGAGGAGGCAATTTTCTGGGACACCAGAATTGGCTGCCATGTTTATCCTAATGTGCTACTGTGATCTAATGAATGGAAATGAGGTCATTAGAAGAGGGTGACATTTGCCTGTCACCTGTGACCCAATGACTGTGTCCCTTTGGGGGAGAGCCCCTGGTGTTCTGGAACACATTTCCCTGATGAGAGCAAGGGGGCTGAGGAAATGTCGGGATGGATGGAGCTCTTCAATATTGAGCAGAACATCGGCTGGAAGACATAATGAGGCCAGGGCTGGGAGGCCTCCAAAGATCCTACCCCAGGGGAAGGACTCCTCCCCAGAGCAGCTGCTGCAGAAAAGTCGAGGTGGTTTGCAGGATATGTTGGGCTAAATGCCTATGAATAACATCATCGAAATACCCTGACTACTCTCACTACAGTAGTCATAAAAAAAAAAAAAAAATCAATAACGTGGGGAGAGGAGAGGGTATCCTGAGCAAACTCTGTAAGATAGACACCAAAGTGTGTCTCAGTGTGTGTCTGACTCAGTGTGTGTGTGTGTGTGTGTGTGTGTGTGTGTGCATGTGGTGTTTCTGAGTATGCAAATAACACATGCTTATTATAAAAATAAAATTAGAAAACATTAAAGTGGTACATCTGTATTGTAAAAAAAAAAAAAACAGGGCACCATCAATAAATTCAATACAACTGGCATTAATCTGAAGACATTCAATTCTGTTTAGCTTGTGTGTTCAAAAATGTACAGTTTTATTTGTGACTTGGGAAGAGGAAGACACTTAGTATTTATCTTCCTAGCTTTCCCATTTCTAGATCCTCTCTCCTTTTTCACATGCAAATGGAATGTAAATCGTTTCCTAAAATCTGCAATTTTATGACCTCTGTTGAATAGGATACTGCTCGAGACTCTGGGCCATTTTATCATGGCTCAGATTTACTACCCAGCAGCTCCAGAACAATTTGAGACATAAAAGAAGGGGCAGAGGCAGGCTTTGGAGGTGATGCAGATAATCAAAACCTTTTCTCTGGAATTACTTAATGAAGACATTTATCAAGCACGTATTACGTGCTTTGATTAGCCCTCTTCAGTTTAGTTGGTGAAAAGAGACATGACTCAGGCAGGAATCAAGTTCAATTGTAAAGGGAGTTTGGAACTATGCAGCCATGTTCATGTAAGCAAATGGCTTTGATTACTTTCTGGCATTCTGTACCAGTTTTTCTAACTTCAAATTTTCAAATTTCAGTTAGCCAATAACCTGCTAAGTGTCCAATTGGGAGAATGTTTTAGGCAGTTGATGTTTGAGTTCTCTTTCACACCTTTACCTTAAAGGACTAAATTGTTTCCAGCCCTCTACCACTCTCGGCTGGGGAGGCAAAGCCACCGTTATCAGTGTGCACATAAAACCCACATCCTTGGGGCGCCTGGGTGGCGCAGTCGGTTAAGCGTCCGACTTCAGCCAGGTCACGATCTCGCGGTCCGTGAGTTCGAGCCCCGCGTCACGCTCTGGGCTGATGGCTCAGAGCCTGGAGCCTGTTTCCGATTCTGTGTCTCCCTCTCTCTCTGCCCCTCCCCTGTTCATGCTCTGTCTCTCTCTGTCCCAAAAATAAATAAACGTTGAAAAAAAAAATTAAAAAAAAAAACCCACATCCTTTCTTGTTTTTTTGATGGATAAACAAAAATGACCATTTTAATCAGTGACTCTGGATGGCTTTAGCTTGTGAAAGAAACCGAGACACTCCACGATGCTTAATATCATACTTGATCGAAATAATTGTAGGCATACATTTGTTACGTTATAGCTCAAAATATTTTCTTATCCCAGAATAAGCTCACCATTTTTTTCAAACCATACCACGTCAACCTACCAAGATAACCAAGTCACACTCTTGTTTTTTGCGGTACTATCACATCTGCCTCAACGGGAAAAGCTAAATCACAGAACTTGTGCTGAAAATCTTATATCCTGAAGAAT